ATATTTTACGTTCTTTTTTCTGTACTTTATTTAGGATTGGTTAGCTAAAATAAAATTAAATCATGTCTCAGCAACGAATACGTTCTCGTTTTTTTATTTTATTTTATTTTATTTTATTTTTTTTTTTTTTTTTTGTGTGTGTGTGTGTGTGTGTGTGTGTGTGTGTGTGTGTGTGTGTGTGTGTGTGTGTGTGTGTGTTACAGGCTCTCATGTGATTAGTGGTAGTTATACAAGAGGGGATATTTTTAACACACCCAGTACAGGGGAAGGTCTGCAAACCGGCGGGGAGGGCTTCAGCTTAACATATCTGAAACGTATATCCATTCATATAGTTTGTGTGTAATTTCAGAGTACACAGTTGCTACACTCTGATCTTAGGCGAAAAACACAAATATAATAATAATCCAAAACTCACAGGTTGGGAGAGATATTTTGATCCTACATAAAGCGTGCAAACATACTGATCAATTGTAAAAAAAAAATAAAGCAAAAAAACACATCTGTATAATCTCTACACACACATATACTCACGTACATATATATACAGGATGCGATGGAGAAATTGTCGTCTAAATTACTTGAAAGGGAAAATAATACAAACATCTTATTTTAACATTGTATTCATCAAAATTACACAAAAAATATTTTGAAACACTAGAGAATAGATTTATTCAATAAACTCGACATTGGCTTCAACCACGGCCACCAGACGATTTCGGAATTTCTTACATCTTTTATGGACGGTCTTCTTGTTTAAGTTGGTGAATACAGCCATAATTCTTTCCTTCAGCTAATCTTTGGTGTTACAATGTGTTTTGTTAGTCACTCGCTCAGCTGCACCTCACACATAATAATGAAGGGAGTTGCAGTCTTGGGAGTTAGGTGGCCAGATTGAAGGAGTGATGTGGTCGCAGGAAATGTTTGACAGCCGAAACTAGGTTCGCCTGCTTTTGGGGGATGGTACAGAATCCCGCTGCTAGACATAGGGTCTTGTACAGCCACTTTTTTCACCCAGGGCAGTACTACCGCCTTCAGATCCTTAATATAGGCCTCCGTGTTGAGTCTGAGGCTCATACCAATCAGTTCCGGAGATCTTTTCTTTACAGAATGACATTTCCGACTGGCCGTACCTTTGTAATCACCATTAGACTCACACTACTCTTTCCGAATCCTCTGGACTGTCCTCAGATTGACACACAAACATATTGAAATGTTCGCATTGGAAATTCCGGCGCGGCGAATTCCAAGCAGTACAAGATGGCGTTTGCAAACTTCTGACGAAGTGAATAGCGACATGTTGCTCTTTTTCTCGCAGATGGTGCCCAACTGACCTTACTAAATTGTACAGTCGACATGAAAAAAACAAACAATGCGCGGGAGTTTTAGCCATCAGACCAGATATATATATATATATATATATATATATATATATATATATATATATATATATATATATTCTAAGTCACTGTGTATTTCTCTAAAAATAAATACGCTTAAATACAATCCCGTGCGTCAACGGCTTAGTGCTAAAAAAAATTCCCCGACCCCCGACTGACAGCAATTTTTCTAATTTCGGCCTTGTGCCACATCTAAGCTACGCTTGGAAAATCACTGACAGCAATTTATTCGGGTTTCGATCCTAGCTAGACGCAACCGGACATCTAGCCACATTGATGAGCTGTGATACAGCGAAATAGTCTGTCTGTGAATGACTATATATATATGTATGTATATATATATGTATGTATATATATATTATGAAGTAGACTAAGTCCGATAATTATTTTTATATATTTTCTGTTTATATGATATTTTCATAGATACAAATATTTAAGTAGATCTTCTGTTGATTATTAACAACTACAGCAATCGAACTTGTATGATACACTGAACCGTCATTTAGTCTGACGTGCTATACCATTTAGCTACAGAGGATTTTCTGGTTAGCCAGTTTGAATTACTATTTTTAAACTACAAATTTCCCATGATTTCTCTCGAACGCTCATATCTGATTGTAAAACAATGACGCCTCTATCTTAACATAAATAAATGACATCATACATTATGAAATGGACTAACTATATTAAATAAATACACACACACACACACACGCACACGCATGCTCACACACACACACACACACATATATTGATGCATGTTTCATTAAATAATATGGACAAGTTTTGTCTATTTTAAGTAAGTTCATTTCATATTGTCTTATAAGCTTAATAACATTATCATTGAAAGACGAAATGAAATCACAATATTGATACATGATTTAATCCTTTTCTAAGCTAGCGGCTGACATAAAGCTGACAATTTCATTTCAATATATCAAACAATACATGGACAAAACAATAATAATAGTCTGTTTTTGTTGCATGAAAGATTTTGAAGCAACGACAATCTCGTGTATACGAGACGCGGAAGCTAAAATCTCATCATAGCTCGTGACGTCACACATGACCAAGCGAGAGTGAAAACGAGAAGTATTAAGTATAGGAAGGCGTTGAAAAAGTCCCTTGCTCAGTTAATTGATAGATTTTCAATTCCTTGCAGTTTATTTAAACTAAGAAATATTTTTAGATCGTAAGATTTTTTTTTTTTTTTTTTTGGAGATAATAAATATTTAATATTACAAGTCTTAATAATTAACCCATAGTTGGGGGAGATGAGGTGAATCTATATGTTTCACAAGGATGAATATAATAAATACAACTGCCATTAGAACACAGCTCTCTGAATAACAATTCCGAGCGATTATCCATTACACCACCTGCACACTCAAGCTTATATTACCTGGTATTCTGTTTAATTGGAAGTAACAGAGAATCATAAGCTGTAATTGTCACGGTGGAACTTTAGAAATAGATAAGTATCAGATTATTGCTTAATTCTCTGTTATATATTTTGAGATTCTTAATAACTTCCACATGAGATTCTGCAATGTTATTGGTCCTGATATGGCATCTCGGCGTCAGTGCCTTTCCAACCACCGTAACATACTCTATCTATGTCTTTTCTCTAAATATTTTCAATGTACTTACATTATTTACATTATTCTAACAGTTATCCTCATCTTCATTGCCATATTCACCGCTGTATTCTCCGGCCTTCTTCAGGCGATTGAAATTTCGATCAAAAACTTTTATTTGGTCCACCGGGGTAGATTGTTCTAGTTCCACGTGCCATGCTTCTTCCAGATGTCTCAGTTATTTCCCTTAATTCACTATGAATTTGGTTCGCCCCTGCAGCGGCCTGGTATTGAATCCACAACTCTTTGAGTCTAGTCACTGGATGTAACCAACGTCTTTATCCACTGGGCCATGTGTCCTCAAGGCTGAAGCATACAACGGTCGAAACGTTCAGTGAATGTAGTAATCTTAGGCTGCTAGAGAGGATGTTAAATAATTTTATGTAGGATGTATTCTTGAAACATTCGAACTACTGTTGAAAAATGGATGTTTGGCTTGAATTGTTTTATATAAAGAACCTCGAATATATTTTCAGGCGGCTGGCAGATTTCTTGAGAAATTTTGGTGTCATAAAACAGAATTTTTCTAACCTAAGCACACTGTTGTCGGAAAACTATGACCGCTTCTCTTATGCAACCTAAGATTATTACTACTTCGAAACAATTCATCCTAGAACATGAATTCTGAAAATTATAAACAACTAACCCTTATGAAAAGGGATATTGACTTCGCCGAAAAAACTTAAGACAATAATGTTTAAAAGAAAGTATACTGCCCATATATATATATAACTCCCCGACTGACGCCAATTCAGTCGACCTTAGCTAGAGGCAACCCGACGAGCTCTGATACAGCGAAACAGTCTGTCTGTCGATAACAATCTATATGCTCCTGAAAAATTTGTTTCGGTTGAGCTCTCTGAGATGAAGTGTGGGTTTGTAAACAGTGACTATTACGGCTAATAATGCAAGACTCTTCGGTAAATCGAATCGAGTTCTCTCAGGCACTGTGCGTTTATCTAAAACTAAAATACGCTTAAATTCACCTTCGTTTCTGTCGTGCGCCAACGGCTTAGTGGGAGAATCCCCGGGTTGTGTCAATTCAGTCGGGTTTCGATCCTGGCTACCGAACGTCTAGCCACACTGATGAGCTATGAAACAGTCTGTGTGTGTATATATATATTTATTAACTTTCAGACCAACACAACATTTTGTCTTTCACATGGTTATAATCATTTCATCCCACAAATTAAGATTAATTTGTAAGGATTTTCAAACCCATCAGGTTAATAAGGACTTTTTAATTTTTTTTATGGGTTTGAAAATCCTTACAAATTAATTAATTAATTTTAATTGTATGTAATTTATAGGCTCTGTTTGAATAAGACTGAGCTCTCTTTGCCAATCAGTTTTAATATTTTATATTAATCGGATTCATTTGGATTATATACCAATGGATTGTTACTTATATATATATATATATGTGTGTGTGTGTGTGTGTGTGTGTGTGTGTGTGTGTGTGTGTGTGTGTGTGTGTGTGTCTGTGTGTGTGTGTGTGTGTGTGTGTTATAGAAATCAAAGCTGTTTGTTTCTTTCTTCATGTCTTTCAGGTAATTCCACCAAATTCTGTTTCTTTCCTGGCCTTCATCACATCAATTCCTTCTCTTACGACACAAAATCTTAAGAAATCTTTAAATATTTCGTCGCTCGCATTTTTGCTTCAGAAATTCTCTTTGGTATCCAGAAAGTGCTCACTGGCGCCAGCCGGCCTGATTGGAGACACAAGTAAAACCCAGGATTTCAAAAGCTGATTTCGAAAGCAGGAAAGGGTCATCCTTCTCCGGAGATTATCAGACGACTCATACTTGTATTATTCCTGCGTCCATAAATTTGTTTCAGGCTCTGCGATAATCTCCAAATATTAACATGGAGATACTGCTTGCGATATGCATACGAGAGAATGAACACATCTTTTTAACATCGAACTCACAGATATTTTTTTTTATTTCAATTTTTGTTTCTACAAATGTATATTTTTATCTTACATTTCTTTTTACTTCTTATTTATTTATTTACCTTTTCCTCTTTCTTCTTACGTTTTTCTTTTATTACTTTTCTTCTTCAGCGTGCTCGTTCTAGCCCGTTTCAATTTTCTTTGTTTTCCTCTTTCATTCAAGTATCCATCTACATTTTTATTATTATTATTCGCACCCATTCTTATTTTTTTAAACTGTTTACTGTATCTTTCTCTTTAGTCTTCTTTTATTCTCTTTTTTCTCCTCTTCTTTTCTTATTTTCTTACCGTTATTTTCTTATTACTCATTCTTAAACTCCCTTTTCTTATATTCCCTATCATTCTTTCTTTAACTCTTTATTTCTAGTTTTATTTTTCATTTCTTCTTTTTTTTCTTATTAAACATGACCTTTGACTCTTACTTTGCTGGCTTTTTTCGGTTATTAATGGCCGCAGAAAAGACCTTCGTTCTTTTTCCTTCTTATTCATCCTTTCCATTCCTGCAGTTTGTTAACATATATTTTAGATTCTATCAATCCTACTTTTATTCGTTTTCGTTTCTTTATATAAAAGTGTTACTTCTTTTTTATTCCATGTCGTTTTTAGAGTGTTCGGAGTATAGTCCTCATATCTCGTCTCTTCTAGTTCCACATGCTTAACGGATGTCGGTTATCAGTTATCTCCTGTTAATTCCCCTCTCCACTGACTTAACTGGGTATTGAACTCGCACTCTTTGGGTCCTGGCACTGGAGCTAACCAACGCTTTTATCCACTGTGCCATCTGTCCTTATACATGGCACGTGGACCTAGAACAGTTTATCCCAGTGAGCGAAATAAAGGGTTCAGTTCGACATTCCAACCACCTGAAGAAATCCCGGAGCGTACAACGGCCGAAACGTTGTAATAAATATGGCGATAACGATGAGGAAAATAATCCGAATAATGTAAAGATATTTGCCAACAGCCCCACTCGGGGTCGGGTAGCTGTCTACCACCCAAGACAAGACTCTGCTCTTCGGCATAGCTTCGTCTGGGTTCCTCTCCGCCCGAAGGTAGAGACTTCGACGATCTTAGCTGGAGAAGAATCTGCAACTATTTGCCGAAGCAAATCATAGTCCGAATAATGTAAATAGTGTACATAATACCTTATCTCAGATATATAGAGAGATAATGTCTATATTTCTGAAATGTTGTTTTTACTTTTATTGTTTTTCTGTATTCTTTCCTTCCAAGTGCCATCTTCGTTATTTTCATCTTACTTGTATTATTTACAGTATTCGGACTGTTATCCTCATCTTCATTGCTTTTCTTGGTATTGAAGAATTGAGAATCCTAAACGATAATTGTCACAGTGGTGTTTTAGAAATACCTAAGTAACAGGTTATTGTTTATTCTTCTGTTATATATTTAGAGATTCTTGATGAAGTTCAAAGGAGATTCTGCAATATAATTGGTCCTGACATGGCATCTCGGCTTCGGTGTCTTTTCATCTACCGTAACATACCTTCGCTATGTCTTTTATGTAAATATTTTCATGGTAATTACATTATTTATATTTTTGGACTGTTATCCTCATCTTCACTGCCATATTCAAAACGTTTCGGACCTTGTACGCCCTGGCCTTCTTCAGGTGATTGGAATTTTATTTCGTCCACCGGGTTGATCATTCTAGTTCCACGTGTCATGCCTTTCACGGATGTCTCAATTATTTCCCTTAACTCACGAGCATTTTGGTTCACAACTGCTGTGGCCTGGTATTGAACTCACAACTGGATCGAACCAACGTCTTTATCCACTGGACCATGTCTCCTTGAAGGTCGGAACGTACAACGGCCGAAACATTGTGAATATGACAATGAAGATGAGGATACCAGTGTAAATTATGTAAACTATTCAAGTAATCATAATACCTCATCTCAAAGGTTTAGATATCTTCTTCTTCTTCTTCTTCTTCTTCTTCTTTCCTTCATTTTATTTCTCGACTTTTCTCCATTTCTTTGCTATTAATAACTTTCGTTAAATTCTATATCATTCATCTCAGAACTCATTCACTAATTTTCAAATTATTCGTTTTTCTAGTTTAATTTTTTTCTTTTTCTCATTATTTCGTCTTTCTATCTTCATCCGTTTTTCCATTATTTTTTCTTTCTTCCATTTTAAATTTCTTTCGTTCCAGTTTTATATTATTTTCATTTATTTTTATAATCCGGCCATATTACTTTTTATTATTTTTCATTTATTGTTCTGTTGTTTCTACATTGTTTCTTTATTCTTTCTCTTTCCCTCCCCCTCTCTTTATATCTCTCTTTCACTCTCCCTCTCTTTCTTTCACTCCCTCTCTCTCTCACTCCCTCTCTCTCTATCTCTCTATCTCTCTCTCTTTCTTTTTTATTTTATATTTAAATTCCTTACTTCTTCGTTTTCATATTTATTTCCTTTTAGATTTAATCGATTCTTTTTCTTCATTAAAATCTTCTTTCAATTCTTTGTGTCTCATTTTTCCTTGTTTTCTTTTTTTGTTGTTCCTTTTCTTTCTCCCTCTTCCATTTTCCTTCCTCCATTTTTCCTTCCTCCATTTCTTTCTCATTTTTCGAATATATTTTCTTCCTGTTACATTCCTTTTTTCTTTTTACTTTCGATTCGCGCTTTTCAGACTCATACTTTTCCTGTTCTTCATTCGCATAACTTTCATTGAAATTTCCCTACCTTCTTTTTTAATTCTTAAGAATTTTTCCTAAATTTCGATTTCGTTTTCTCCATTTTCTAGTTCTTCAGTTATTCCAGATAAATCCCCCATACTAATATTATGCTTTCTTCATATTTTTTATGAAAATCCCTTTCCTTTATTCTCGCTCAGTTTCTTCTCTCCTTGACTTCATTTCTTTTCGCTATCTTGCTTTCTTTTTCAATCCTAAGATCCATTTTTTTCAGTCCTACTGAATTTTCACGATTCCTTATGTTTTTACAAAGGAAATGCTTTTTTTAGGCTTTCATTTGAGTTAGTTCCGTGGAATCCTCTTCAGAGGATTTTTCATTTAATTTATTTCTTATTCCTTGCAAAGTGTATAACCGGAAAAATATCCGCCTACTTACGTATCTGTCATTCTACAAAACTACACACACAGACACACACACATTCATAGATACACACACACACACACACACATATATATATATATATATATATATATATATATATATATATATATTACATGTAAACCATTCATTAGGTCGATATTTGCTTATGTGCACTCGCAAAAAAAAATAAAAAGGAAATTCTCTGATATTTACAAATATTCATATATATATATATATATATATAAAGGAAGGTGAAGGATATGTAAAGTTATTAATCTATACTTAGTAGCTCTGATATATTATATAGACCACTGTTTTTTTAACTGTGCGATGTATTATTTTTATATATATATATATATATATATATATATATATATATGTGTGTGTGTGTGCATAAATTATGAGAACGGTCATATAAAATATATTTAGCAATATATAAATACACCCATATACACTTACGCAAACGCACGCACACACACACACACACATATGCATATATATATATATATATATATATATATATATATATATATATATATATAAGAAGGTGAAGGATAATATGTAAAGTTATTCATCTATACTTACTAGCTCTGTTGTATTATATCGAGCACTGCTTTTTTTTAACTCTGTGCGATGTATTATAATTGTACAAACAAACACACATATATATATATATATATATATATATATATATATATATATATATATATATATATATATAAAAAAAAATGTGTATTGTGTGTGTATATATCTAAGGATAGTACACGTCGAAATTGAATCACACTGTAAATCACCTCTATTTAGGATCCTTTTTTTTATAAATACATCTGAATCAACACCGCATGCTAACAGTCAGTTTCACCTCTCTATGGGACATTTTACCTTGGGAAGTGTGAAAATGGCGACAGTCAGTCTCACGCTTAATGCTAAATTCTATAATGAGGTGTGAAAATGACAGTGACAATTTTCACGTCTCAATGTGATCTATACACACGTGTGAGACTGACAATAATCAAGCATGCTGTATATAACTACAAATACTCTAACTGATCAGTTGTCTCTATAAATATTGAAAATTTTAACCAATACACACACACACACACACGCACACACACGCACACACACACACCGATATATTTTCTACATACAATATGTGAAAGCATGCGCGATACCCTGCCTTCGTTAGCCGCCAACCAGGGGAGGTAACACTGTTTGGTGTCTCAGGTGGAACTGTCACCACTGGCGTCACCGGCAGCATTTCTCACCGGACAAGCTATTGTTTTTTCGTTAATCTCCCCGATTTTCTTTCATCATCATCATCATCGTCAAAACTGTTTCGATTTGAAATCATGAATTAACATGTTCTCTCATCTTCAGTGACATTGTATACTGATTGGACAATATTTTGCCAGCGCTCTCTGTCCTCTGCGAGTTTACGGATTGGTTGCAGAACCTCTCCAAAGGAAAAGTGGGATCTTAACTGCCTTGTTCTTTGAATGCCTCGGTTCAGCGTTGTGACCTCTGAACTTTTTGAAGTCGGTCTTTTTCAAAGTAAAACTCCATGGCTATGTGCATTATTGCTCCATTTACTCTTGACAACAAATCCGTTTCCATAATGTTTACATTCTGTCTCTAAACATATCAGTTGGTGTTCGTTTTTCCGATGTTCCTGTTCAAGCCAGGTCGAATTTGTGTTCCTTGTAAGCAAAACACGTCCACTTTGTACAGTCTATCGCTAGGTTCTCACTTCCAATCAAGCCCCGTTCATTGAAAGCTCCAGATGAAGTTCAATAGCGTTTCCGGATATTGTCCTTTTCAGTACGCAAAGTTTTAAATAAATAATTACTGCGTAGCAGTAACTGGAGCAGACATTACCTACTCTGCCAATGTTAAATTTTATTAAAATGACACGTGATGGTAGCAACAACAATAATTTTTTTTTCAATAATTAACATCTAATCTGATTAACTGAAGCAGTAGCGGCAATATTAACAAAGTAAATAAATAAATAAAAAATAAAAATAACCATCTCTTTTATTCATAATTGTATAATAAAGTAAAATTTCCTTCTGTGGATAAGACAAATTGATATAAGAATGTCAATTGGAAAAAAAAATCTTAGTTTTTTTGGCGACACATTTCATCTTCCGACTTTAATTGTTTGTCTTGATAAAGTCGGAAAACGAAACGCGTTGGCAGAAAACTAAGATTTCTTTCCAATTGTCATTCTTATACCATATATATATATATATATATATATATATATATATATATATATATATATATATATATATATATATAGTATTATTCAAACATAATACTCTAGTATAATAATGCTTTGTTTCGTTGAATAGCTTTAATAATTAATTAACATCTAATCTGAATAACAGGAGCAGTAGAAACAACAGTATAAAAAATAATAAATACATAAAAAATATAAATAACCATAGTTTTTTTCTTCATAAATATTTCTTTATAATAAAGTAAAAGTAAACCTAAGCAACTGTAATTCAGATTTGTAACGTTGGCTTAAAAGCGTTTGTGTTCTGCAAAATACAAGGCGCTCGTAACGACCTTTATCAATATCGTTGAATGGAAGATAAACAAATGTGTTTTATGGTGGAAGTAGCATTGTGTTACGAGCATGGATTGAATTAACTTTGCTTATTTGGGATCTTACTCAGATCCACCTCAATGCCGGTTGAGCTGTGGCCTGTACACGATGTGAAAAGATGACTGCTTTATTGTCTCAATTAATGTTTGTGTCACAATAAAATTTATTTTGCACTCTCAAGCCCTGTGCATTTTATAATGATCACCTAGTAAAAACGACAATTAAAGTCAGCTTGATTTCCACTTGGTAACACTACAAAATGTTGATAGTTTCAAGGGTGTGAATATATATATATCGCCCCTTGCTTAATTCTTTCACACCCTTGAATATATATATATATATATATATATATATATATATATATATATATATATATATATATATATATATATATATATATATATATATATATATATATATATATATATATATATATATATTATGAAATGGACAAAAGTCCGACAATTATTTTTTTTAAGACATGTTTATGTTTATACATTCTTTTTATAGATACAAATGTAAATGCACTGTAAACAAAGTAAATGCACTGTTTATAATAAACAGTATTAAACAACATTTACCGGCCTGAATGTCCGAGAAATTTTCGGAGGACGAATATTTTTTATGAAAATTTATCGTACATTCAGGCCGGTAAATGTTGTTTAATACTGTTTATTCTAAACAGAGCATTTACTTAAATATTTGTATCTATAAAAGAATGTATAAACATAAAAAATGTCTTTAAAAATACATATATATATATATATATCATATATCTATCTATATATATATATATATATATATATATATATATATATATAGAGAGAGAGAGAGAGAGAGAGAGGGAGAGAGAGAGATAGATATATAGATATATATAGATATAGATATTCTTTACATACAACGTGTGAAAGCACGTTCCTACCCAACCCTCGCCAGCCACCGAACAGAAGAGGTAACAGAGTTTCGGTGGCTCAGGCGGTACTGCCACCCCTGGCCCCATCAGAACCTTTTGCCAGTGCACAGGTTATTGTTTACGTGTCAGTTTCTCGCGGTTTCTTCTTACAACTGCAACTGAAAATTTGTAACGTTGTGTTAAAATACACAATGTGCACGTAGCGACCGCTATTAAGATCGCAGAATGTCAGGTAAACAGATGGGTTTCACGTAAGAAGTAGCATCGTGTCGCGAGCATGATTTTATTTAACTTTGTCTATTTGTTTTCTCGATCAGATCCAACTCGATACCTGGAGACGATGTGAAGCACTCTTCATGAACCGACCAGTGATACGCACCATCAAGAGGAAAGTAACGATAGACCGTCAAAAGAATCCGCGGTATATGACATGTATACCCTGTTTTCCACGTTGTCGGATCGCAGCGATTCGTGACGGTTTTTCTTTCCCCCCGTACGCTTTCTCCCTGTTCTCCTCCTATGGAACAGTTACTTCTACTAGGAGGACACACTTCTTCGAATCAGACCTCCTTACGATGTCAGGGCATGTGTCTGTCTTGATGGAAATTGCAGAAGTGTTCTAAGAAAGGACGTTCACCTTCCTTGTAAAAACTGATCTTAAGTTCTTAGGCTGTTTGTTGGCTTCTTCACACTGTGTAGTGACTAAATCCATAACCACTTTGTTATGACGCCACGTGTACATCTGCAATGATTGCGGGCATGCAGAGAGCATGTGACGGAAATTGCCTCGATCACATTGACATAATGCGCATACATCAGTGTCAGTGTACCCACACAGCTTGAGGTTTGTCTCAGTTTAAGATCATTAGTAGATTGCAGGAGGAATGATATTGCCAATGGCTCTATTGCAATCAGGGTATACCATGATAGCTTCATCGTTTCAATATCATTCCATGTAGTCTAAATACATTGTTTGGACTGAGAAACATCATTAGTTGTTCACTGATCTTCCTTGAAATTCCTGATTTCTTCAATCACCATGTTTCCTTTCCCCTTTGAATTGCTTGGAGAAAAACTGGTTGCTTGTGCT